AAATATATTTTTGGTATTCTATAATATATATGCAAAAAATAAAGATGCAAATAAAAGTATCTAGAAAGCTTATATGATAAAAGATAGACCCGGGGGCCATAGGTTTCACTAGTGGCTTCTCTCAAGATAGCATAAGTATTACGATGGGTGAACAAATTACTGTCGAGCAATTGATAGAAAAGCGAATAATTATGAGATTATCGAGGCATGATCATGTATATAGGCATCACGTCCACAACAAGTTGATCGACTCCTGCCTGCATCTAGAGTATTAAGTTCATAAAGAACAGAGTAACGCATTAAGCAAGATGACATGATGTAGAGGGATAAACTCAAGCAATATGATATAAACCCCATTTTTTTATCCTCGATGGCAACAATACAATACGTGCCTCGCTGCCCCTGCTGTCACTGGGAAAGGACACCGCAAGATTGAACCCAAAGCTAAGCACTTCTCCCATGGCAAGAAAGATCAATCTAGTAGGCCAAACCAAACTGATAATTTGAAGAGACTTGCAAAGATAACTCAATCATACATAAAAGAATTCAGAGAAGATTCAAATATTTCTCATAGATAAACTTGATCATAAATTCACAATTCATCGGATCTCGACAAACACACCGCAAAAAGAGTTTATATCAAATAGATCTCCACAAGAGAGGGGAAGACCATTGTATTGAGATCCAAAAAGAGAGAAGAAACCATCTAGCTAATAATTATCGACCCGAAGGTCTGTGGTAAACTACTTACAACTCATCGAAGGGGCTATGGTGTTGATGTAGAAGCCCTCCGTGGTCGATTCCCCCTCCGGCGGAGCGCCGGCGAAGGCTCCAAGATGGGATCTCACAGGTACAGAAGATTACGGTGGTGGAAATTGTGTTTCATTGGCTCCCTAGATGTTTTCGGGGTACGTAGGCTTATATAGGAGGAAGAAGTACGTCGGTGGCCGCCCGAGGGGCCCACGAGAGAGGGGGCGCGCCCTCCTGTCTCGTGGCCGCCTCGGCTGCTTCTTGACTTGCACTCCAAGTCCTCTGGATCACGTTCGTTCCAAAAATCATGCTCCCGAAGGTTTCATTCCGTTTGGACTCCATTTGATATTCCTTTTTTTTTTGAAATACTGAAATAGGCAAACAAAACAGCAATACGGGCTGGGCCTCCGGTTAGTAGGTTAGTCCCAAAAATGATATAAATGTGTAAAATAAAGACCATAAACATCCAAAAAGGGTAATATAATAGCATGGAACAATCAAAAATTATAGATACGTTGGAGACGTATCATGAGACAATTGTGTTGGATCATGATGATGATGATGATGATGATGATGATGATGATGATGATGATGATGATGATGAGACTATGTTGTAGCACAATGATGATGATGATGATGATGATAATGAGACATCATTGTCTCATATAGTTTCAATGTATGTGTATGGTGCTATTATATAAAATTTGTACAAATACTGCGTAAATACGCAGAAGAAAAAAAATAAATACCAAAAAAGTAGCAATGGCGCGGGGTAAGAGGGTAGCAGCAACGTGGGGGCAGCGGTACTGCTACACAGAGTTAGCAGTAGCGCTGGGCACAGACCTGAGCTATAGATAATTAGTAGTAGCGCATGGTGGACCCGCGATACTTCTAGCAAAAGTAGTAGTAGTGCGGGGTGGTATCCCCGCGCTACTGCTAGAAAGTTAGTTGCAGTGCGCTGGTGTTAGCGCCCCCCCCCCCCTTGCGCTACTGCTAGACATTTACCCCACACCACTACTAGGCTTATCTCTAGTAGTGTTTTCTTCTTGTTTTCCGTTTCAATTTCATTCATCGCATCATCACCATAGGGAGAGAAATTCCAAGTTGTAAGACCAGGGTGTATAACCCTATTCATACTCATTCCGAGATTGAGACTTGTTTAATCATTCATCTTATTGTGGAACTTCACGATATTATCGAAATGATTTCCCTTGATTTATTCTCTGTGATGTTTGGTGATTCTTCCCCCATGTGTGAGTAGTTCTCCATAGCCATGGGAGATGTAGGTGATTGGTAAAAATCCATTTGTGCCTATCCTATATGTCGTCATTTGTGCTTATACTTTATGATTGTTTAGCAAGTTGTTATCCTACGGTGAACATAATGCGTTTTGTCTAATTTAAGGTCCCATGCAACATGATCTGAATACCTACGCAGGTAACACGTATTGTTTAGTGAATTCGTAACCTCTAGGTGACAGGTGGAGATATCTACGAGGAACGAAGTCAATATGAGATAACGGTGATCCACGTAACTTAATACATGACTCTGATCTAACAACCTTAATTGTGGAGACGATCACGCTGTGGGGATGTCGAAGCGGGACTATAGAGGAGAATGGAGTCCTGCATGGAGGAGTTCTACAACCCAAGGGTGATCCACCTACTAACCTAACAATCAATTTACTAGAATCTCTATACGAGGTAACTGATATTATTGTTATACTAGCACAATTGATATACACCATGATCTGAAGTCTCTCCGCGCCTACTCTCTCTACTATAAGAAACCACTTTTATTTTTAGTTCTTTCAATTCATGTTCTTTACTTCCAAGTTGTTACAACTCTTGCTGCGACAACTACACTCCTTTTTACCACTCTAGTATATTGTTTGAAGGAACACTAAAACCGTCTACAGATTCTCAATCGGTTACTTCACACAAGACATGTGACAACTTGTGTGCGACCAAAACGTCGCTCATAAACACTCACATCCGCTCTTTGTTGGGACGACTACTACTGGGATACTTACATGAAGGTGCTACAATACCCTGTGTGTCTTGCATGCCATCAATTGCCTTCAGACCTAATTATGCACAAGGTCTCGGGTTCTCATGTGAATGAATAGCGAGCTCAGAGAGAAAAGAAGTCACCTCAGATTGTACATCTCTTGAATGTGCCCTTGTCATCAGTCCACTTGTACCTGGAAATGGTCCATGGTGATGTCGGTGGGATGCTCATCGTCACACACGAGTCGGTAACCAGGTCCAGGAGCAGTCGTATCACTTCTCTTTCTAAGTGGATATCCATACTCACTAACAAACTTGTAGAGTGAAACTCCTCAATAATGTCGCCGCAATAGCCACCCTCGGGTATATATGACGTGGTCTAGGGGGACAAACCAAATAGGCGGGGGCTATGTCCCTATTGTGCCATTGGTCACACTAGCGACATCGAAGGAACTGACAACCTGACCTGCAGTTGTCCATGGACGGTATCAAACTGCACACAAGATGAGACCGCTGGCAACAAGGCGATAACCAAATTCACACCACACAACGTTGGAGCACATGTTCGATGACAATGCCGACTCACTGGCTCCCCAAGGTCGTGGACCACATCACCGAGATGGGTTCGACACACCATACAGCGGCAACGAAAAACCAAAACCTAACACACAAAATGAGGTTCCCGCACCTCCCGTCACTAGAGCAATAGGCGTGCCGAAAGAGAACCGCCGGCCTTACCG